TGTAAAATTTTTTCTCACACATCCGAGAAAAAAGTCATCTAATAAAGTTGAACTAACACACGGGGGCAGCACAGCGTTTCGTTCGTTTTTCTTTTTCTTTTTTATTTTTATTTCATTTTTGAATATCGAAAGGAAACCCAGACAGAAGAGATCGATATTTGCCTGTGCCTCTTTTCTAGCTTATTTTTATTCATATATTTTTTTTTTTTTTTTTTTTCGTTATTTTGATGAAAGAAAAAGAAGAAACAAAGCGTCCGAATGACTTCAGAACGCGGTGACAATGCCATTTCCGCTTCCAGCGGCACAATCACTTGGATTGCATCCGCATGTACGTAATACAAATATCTCTAATAATATACAAATCATCGTAAATATCATCATTTACCGCCGATCCGTAATCGCAAATGATACTTCGTTCGTCGGAGAGACATTGTCAATAAATCGTAAAAAATTACATAACTTGACGCACGCGCGTTTAGAAAATTGGTTTCTATTTGAGACAAATCATATAAAAAAAATATATAACAAGTCAAAATTTAAGTCAAAATTAAAAACAGTCTCTTTCCAATGCATCTGAAAATTTAACATTCAATCTTCTGATCATCGTTGCATGAAAAACGATTTTTGCAGAAATCATTCGAGTATTCAAATGCATTAGAAAGCAATCTATGACATCATACTTTGAAAAGTGATTTGAATGAACTTTGAATTATATAAAAAAAGAAAAGAAAATGATAAAAAAAAGTTAAAAATCTCCATACCGTACAGCGATTGTAAAAGTGCGACATATACACATATAACTAAAAAAGCACGATCAAACGAAGATCACAATGTGATATACGGTACGTTGCTGAAACGCTAGGTACGTAACTCATTTTGCACAGTAAGAGCCAATGCTGTATGAAGCGACCGCAAGACGCCTTCTCCCTGAATCAGTATCAGGGGCGCTATCTAACGTCGTATATCGCAACCATGAATGATTTCGCTTGTTCACATTAAATTGCATCGTATAAATCATATCATGGTTTACGTCTATTTGCACAACGGTACGATACATTCATTTTGGCCACTATTCATCGAAGAAGATCTTTCACAAACCTGAATGTGTCAGGCTATTGCATTTGATATATTGCAAACCTACGATATTCTAATGACTTATAAGATAGCCCCATTCTGTTATCATTCCTTAATTTTTCTCGTATTATTTTTCGTAGGGGGGGGAAAAGGGCCCTGGGTCAAATATAATAATAAAGTTTGTTATTCGATTCGGGTGTGCTGGGGTGTCGATGAGAAATGGCGTAATAACGTGTTACGAACGTATATAAACGAAGTATTTAACATTATGAGTCTATTAATATCTATACGTATAAGTAGAGAGCTCTAAACCTGAAATCCCCCTACCCCTCTTCCTTTTCACACGTCGAATTTCTCTCGTTTGCTCTTTCACACACATTTTAATTTCTTCCTTATCACTCATCCTCTCTAATACCTCTTCCTCTCTCCTCGTCCCTCCCTCCCTCTCTCTTTCATTTTCTATTCCTTTCTGTCAACATTCGTACAAAATACATTCACACATACATACACATTCTTTCTTCCACCTTCATTCTTTTTCCTTTTTTCAACCCCCATCCCCCCTAAGATTTTCTATATCTTACCAGATCACACCCTCAATTTTCTTTTCTCAAGTTTTAAATCTTCTTTTTCCCTTTCTCTGAACGACTTATTTGTCCTTCAAGAGAGCTTATTTCCCTTCTTTCTCCTTTTCTTTGTTTTCATCAACTTCTTTGTCTTTCTCCAATTCTTTCTCTTCTTTATCCGCCTTTTCTTTATCACCCTCTTTTTCTTCCTTTGATTCCTTCGACTCCTTTGCATCCTCCTTGCCCTCCTTCTCCTCCTGTTTTTCTGGTTTCGGTAGATGAGTATTCATATCAAGGGTAGAGCAAATCTCATCCCAATCCGGGAAGCATCGTTCCTTCATGCGTGAACAGTGTCCCACCAAGTTTGGACAATTCTCCTGCATATAGTCTCGCAGACTGTATGGTGTGTCTTTATCGATATACAGAATTTGGGCAAGATGTGCAAATGCTACAACGTCCAACTGTTTGGAATGAAATGGAAAGAAATTTATAAGAGGTTGAATATAAAATAATTTTGTTTAATATAAATGAAGTAGAAGAAATTTTGTTTACCGTAGTCGGTTCGTCTCCAAAGAAGAAAGGCTTGTCTGCAAGCATGTCAGAAAGAACTTTAAGATCGGCGCAACCGAATTGGGACACCTCTTCTGGAGTATGTACACCCATACCCTGCGCCTTCACTTTCTTTGCGCCCTGAAACGAATATCAAGCATGCTGATTTCAGTACTTAATATACGTTTCATATTATAATATAATTTAATGATATGTTTAAATATAATCCGAGACCAAAATTTGACCATTTAAGGCTAATTCATTATTCCAGTTATAAATTTACAATTAATATTTACCTTACGACCGACCGTAAGTTTGAAGAAGAAATTGAGAATTCCATTGGGGATACGAGTACCCAGCACGTGCTGAAGATTCACCTTGTAACCCTTAAAAACCTGATCGAGATTCTTAGTTCGCCAGCACATCACCACCCAGACTAAGTGGTTCTCAATCATTGATATCATTGCGTGGGATACGCTTCGTTGCTCACACGTAAGAACGGCGTCCAGATCCTTACCGAATTTCTGGCTAAGCTCGCGAAGGATAATCGTGCTATCCGCGATTTCCTCACCATTTAGCTCGACAAATGGTAACGCGCCTTTCTTGGAACGGAATTTCATTTTATGGTCCACATTCTGTAACAAAAAAGAAGAAAGTATATTAATTATAATATTGAAAAAAAAAAAAAAGATATTTCGTTTTAATCTGATCTTTCCATTGCCCGACTATTGATTGCTCGACTATCATCTAATATGAAAACATAAAACTAATTAATTATATTAACTTTAATTACAATTTTAGTACACAATTACTAATAATTAGAAATTAAAAAAAAAATATTCGCTTCAACTTTATGTGTTAAAATAAAAAAAACTCGTTTGTGTTATATAATGTGAAATAATTCGAATTTTAATTAATTAAAAAACAATTTGCATTGAATATTTGTTACACAATATTTAGAAGCGCGTATGCATATAGGATGAGAAACCTTTGCGATACGAACGGTCGATTCATAGGGGGGAAAAAAAAACCGGAAAAAGTAAAGGAACACCAAAGGGCTTCGATAGCTTCATGACTAAGGTGCTCGTTATTGAAATAAGTTAGTTCAAATCCTAATGCGGATAAATTATTTATTTTATTTCATTCAAATTCATTTTTATTTATTAAAACGAAGAGTACTCGATCGAAAAATCGACACAATAGGAGAGAAGGTTAAGATAAGTGCTTAACTTGATTCAACGAGTACGTAACAAATAATTGCACCTGCGCCTATTTATACGCACCAGCGCCACACATGGAGCACATCGTAAGTCAATAAGATATCTGGTGTCCTTTACAGGTGGATCATATTGCAAAGCAATATTGATAGCCGCAATATAACATCTGAGGAAGATTTCATGCGTATCGTTCTGCGATGGTGTGTTCGTTATTTTCGATGAAGTTTGATAAAATTCTTTTTGCCAATAAAGTGTTTAAAATCCCATTTGTATATAATCGTTTCGTTAGATATAACAACATAATAATCGACCGAAGAGAAAATTAATACGGATATGGTCCACTTTCTTGAAACTTACGATTTAAAACATTGTCAATGAGAATAACATCTATATTGCCAAGATTTCACCCGAAGTATATAAGAAACTTTCTAGTTACTTGCTGGCCATCTGTTAGAGCATTTTATTGTAAATGAATGGTGACCTAGAATTTCTTGATTTTCGACTTTCTTTAAGAAAATTAATACGAAATGATAAATGACGTAACATATACATAAATACATGCTTTATTACAAATTCTTTGAGATATACAACACAGAGATAATTCTGCGTTTAATAAATCATATTCTGTGTCTAAAAATGTATACATCCTCGATTTCATAAAACCCGGCACGGGCATCCATTTTCAAGGATTTATTCTCAAAGAGGCAAGGAGTAAGTAAGATAAAGAAATGTCCGAGAAAACGTTCCTTACGTCAATTAAGGATCGACAAGTGGAACAAGCCGTGCGCGCTCGCGTCTATAGAAATCACCTGAATTAACCGTACAATAACGCACGAAGAGACCGGAGCATCGAGTCCGGTCCCACGAAAAGGGGAACAACGTCGCGATATATACGTGGGAATATCTCTTCGGAAAGAGCTCATCATCGTCGGCAATCATCGAGTGCAGCGTGCAGCTGCGCTGTCATCGAAAATAAACGAAAGTAAGTCGAATAGGAAGATCTCTTGGCTTGCGGGAGGGAGAACGATTTGAGGACAGGCCCTGCAAAGACTGCAATGCACAGCCTCGACAAGCGCATCTTTGTATGCGAGTGATAATAGCGATGATGGAAACGACGTCGACATTTACGACGACGAAGACGATGATGACGACGACCACGTCAACGGAGGTGCAACGGAGGTTGTTTTGCAATGCGAGCGCGATTGTGATAATGGCGAGTACGAACGGGTGGCACGAAGGGGTGGGTGGGAGATGGACGAAGAGGAAGAAGAGTGATGAGAGGAAGGAGGTTAGCACGAGAGGGAAACGAAGAGGTGGTAGAGGATGTATGCCAATGCGAATTTCAGGGAGAAGAGTCTAGGGAAACGCAAAGGAGAGAGAGAGGGAGGGGGGGGGGCAAACAATCGAGGGGAAGAGTAAATCGAAAAAAAAGAGAAGCTTAAAAAAGGGAGGGCAAAAAAAGAAGAAACGATACACATGTGCAATGGTAGCAGGAAAGATAAAGGAGTATGGAGAAGATGCTTGGTATATACTCTGAAATATTATTGGAAACGAACCTTCGCGCTGGACATTGAACTCGTGAGATATATTTCAAACAAACACTGACAGAAAATGGGGGGGAGGGGAAAAAAAAAGGACACGATGGGTGCTGAAGCCGTATTCGAACGAACGAGTAGAACGACTTAAGCAGAAAGAGCGAAAATCCGATATGCTGTAGTGGAATTAAATATCCTCTAGTATAAAATCGATGAACGCGGTCGGTACTGATTAATTTGCGAGTTTACGGTTTTGCAGATGGCGCGATGATCGTGGTGCACTGGTAATTGAGGACGATCGTTAAAAACGTCTATACGTACGTTCGAATAAGGGAATAATTCAAGGAGAAAGAGAAAAAAAAAACTTACCGGTGGAGTATCGCAGAAAAAAGGTATATATCAATTTCGAGAGATGAAAAATCGAACAGAGAAGGAAGATAGATGGAGTACAAATTAGGCGAGACAGTTGTGTCTTCGTTGTTCGTGATTTTAGTCGAATCGGATGCGATATACACGAGTCAACCGCGCATGCGCATTCGTGCGCATCGAAAAGAACTAGGGTTGAAGAGGGAAAACAAATTGACGCGAAAAAGAAAAATGAATGCGTAAGACGAGAGCGAGGGAGGGAACGAAAGAGAGAGCGAAAAGCGAATCAAAGAAAGAGTAAAAATCAAGGAGAGTAATTTTCTTCGAATAAGAAGATCCTTAAGAAAGGGTTACTAGTACTTCGATAAAGCCGCAGAAACGGTGCGAAGAAAATCGCAGTAGAGAAAAAAACACTGACCGAAGCGAGAAGCAACTGGAGAAAATACAAAACCCGAAGAAAAAGGGCCATACGTAGAAAGAAAAAAGAGATGAGACGAAAAGAGGAATGAGAATGTAAAAGAGAAAAGTCAGAGAGGGAATCAGGGAGTGGTACAACGGCGAGGCATCGAGGAGGGGGAATGCGTGGGGTTAGAGAGGGAAAAAAGAGAGAGGGAGCATGAAAAACGAGAAAGAGCGAGGAGAAGACAAAGTCGAGTGGCGCGGAGGGAGCGGAGAAGAAGGATAAACGCAGGGTGAATAGGTGGGTGGAAGGGAGAAGAAGCATGCCGGAGGACGATGAACTCTGGCGGTAGGCAGCTTCCGTCGCCTGGCAACGTCCTCCTCCCTTTTCCTCCTCCTCCTCCTCCCTCCCTCAGGCTTCGAGCCGTTATGTCGTGGTATCGTACGTAGGCAGTCCTCGTCATGGACGTAGTAGTCGTGTCATCGTCTTCATCGGTGACGATCATGGTAGTCGTTGCCGTATTTTCACGTAGTTGTGGCTCGCAGCTTGCGCTGCGTATTGATCGTGCGGGATGCTGCTAGCTGCTACTGGTTGCTGACTGCTCCAGCGCCAGCTAACAGTGAAGTTTAGCCACAGCCCTACACCAAGGACCAATAGGACCACCTCTCTCTTTCTCTCCCCCTCTTCCCCTTTCTATTTAGCGTGTATCCATTGTTATGGATATCAAAAAAATAACGCAATAAATTGCTCTTCTCTTTCATCTTCCAAACAATTAATAAATAATTAATTTCAGCTTAATTAATATCCTTTAAATGTACAACACTTAAAATATATATATATATATATATATATATATGAGAGCAGTCTGATTAAAATTTCGTAACATATACTCCAAATCCATCAACTATGAATTATCACATGTGTGCCGCATGTGTGTGTGTAAAACAGGAACATCGAGCTAAAATCCCGACTCATCGTGACTTCTTCTCATCAAACGTCGAACTTAAGTCTAATAATACGACGATATATCTCGAAATAAGCCAACTCCATCATCAACTGTATCTACGGCGATATGTATTACCAACACTGTGTCGCTATTCTTTACCATGTAAAAGAGAGGAAAGCGACGTGTTTCACAACATGACCATATGTTTTCTAACACATGGAGCATACAAATGAAATGCAAATATACTTAACATCATATGAATAACTGTATCTTTATCTACGTTAAATCAATTTTTTAATCTTCAATTGTATTCAAATATGCAGAAAATAATCCAACTACCTACGATTTCTTGAATAACTTCTTCCATCATTATCTATTTAATATTCATTTCAAAGAATCAATTAAAAATCATACTTTTCCCCCCGGTACAATTACAATACATTAGGATATTAAAAAATGAGTAGAAAATTAGGATGAAAAATAAAAAGGGAAAAGGAAAATTTCTATTATTTCTCGAGAGGAAAGAGCGCCTAAACGTGTGACGCGTCGTGCAAAAATGTGGTCGGCTATCAATGACGGAACACGTCGACTCGATGAAAATACCGGCGAGAGGTGAATGGTTACGGCACTTGTAAATAGTTTCACTGCACAAGGCTGGCTATGTCGTAAAGTCGGCCGAGAAGAACCGATCGGCCGAAAACGAAAGCAAACGCAGCCGTGACTGCCAAGTCCAACGAACCCGCCACTTGGCACGTCCATGCCCAACAGTGTCTTTAATGTACATACAACTTCCTAAACCCAAACCCATTTTAATCGTGGAGATGGCTGGCACAGAAAACTATCCGTGGAATTGCTTGGTGATCGTTCCATGAGTCAGACGATTTTCCTGAATGAAATTTCTTCTTATCCGTATTACAGTCGCTTCTATCTGCGCGCTTAATGATTTGAGGGGATGTTATAGACAAACGAATCAGGTATGACTCACAGGGGAGTAAATGTAATATTCATCGCACACGAGTTTACCGTTGTAAACTAAGTTTGCAAACCGCTTCTCTGTAATTTATAACTACGTAATAATATGGAGAATATATACTTTGACGAATAAGAAAAGAATAAAAAATAGTTCCTTTTTATCGATAATTCGAAAACTTGGAATACGAGGTTTTTAAAA